TAGCTCAAAATACCAACAGAGAGGGAAGGATCTTCACATCAAGTATCAATACTATATTCCCTCTGTATATAGAATAGAGAGGGATGGGCAACTTAGACACTGGCTACTTAAAATGAGGGACAATAAAGGCACAGAGTGGCAGGCTTAGAAGTTTTCAAGAGGGAGTTTAGTTTAAGAGTATAGGGGGAAAGAAAGAGTCCCCACTGAATAGCTGTCATCTTGTCTAGATGGGTTTGGAGAAAAGAAATGGGGATAAGATTCGTAAGATTGAATAGTGAATAATTGTTTTCATGACTAATTGGGACTGTCACAATTGTAAAGGTAGAAATTTTGTAACAAACACGGGGGAGTAGTTAATCTTCCAATCCAGAAACAGGAACCTAGGACCATCAAGGGAGAAGAGCACAAGCAGAATGCAGGACCCTATCCAGAGAGGCAGCGACACCAGAAATGGTGGCAGAGATGGGGACATGGAGAGAGGGAGCAGCTGAGGACTCTAGATTCATGGGAAGAAAGGGACTGAGAGCTGGGGGCCAGGAGGCAGGCTTGCATAATGTGCCCTTTGGTGGTTTAAATTATTTGTTTTTTAAAGAGCTAAAATGAATAGAGAGAAATACTGTTAACTGATGATACATGGAGGGCATTATAATCATTGTAATGAAACAAAGTATATAATTTGTTGAATGTAAAACTGATGATCTGCCCTGTAAACTTTCACTCAATTTACAATAATAATAATTTAAAAAATGGACTGGACAGCGTTTTTTCCTGTTGTGCATAGGGTCACTATGAGTTGGAACCGACTCTATGGCACCTAAAAACAACTAACAATCTTAAAGTTCTTCAGAGACCACAGTTAGCAAATCATATATGTCTCAACTTCTTGTCATTTATTGTTCTGGATGGACTTGTAAAATAATGAGTGACCATCCCCATCCATTTTCTTTGATGTCAGCTGTTTTGTGGAGCTTTGATTACCTAACAGATGGTATCTATTAAAAGCATTTCACAGAAAATTCTTCTGATTTCAAAATAAGTTTGCTTCACAGATTTAATAATTAGGAATAAATTTGTACAGGTTACATTATACTATAGATTTATACAATCACTGATCATGTGGTAGAGTCCTGGTGTGTCACTGTAGGTTAAATACTGGATCGCTAACCACAAGGTTGGCAGTTCAAATCCACCATATGCTCCTCAGAAACCCTGTACAGAATCACTTTGAGTCAAAACTGACTTGATCACACCTACCAACATTGATTATTACTCATTGTAAAGAATGAATTTATTTGTTACAATCTGTCATTCAGATTTATTGTAAGTCGATTAAACATTTTGATTAGCTTTTAATTTGAGTCCATCAGTAAGCATAATTGACCCTCTCATTCTTCCCATGAAATTGTTACATTACTCATTCCCAAAGAGTGTGTAAGAGCTTCTCTCTTGCTTGTTATAATTGAAATGCCATAGCTGTCAGGGCATAATTTATTATTTCAAAAAGCTTTATAGGACAAGTGGTTTATTTCTTTAAATTGTTGATAAAACAAGCTTTCATTTCTGTTTTAGATCAATTTAGATTGTCATTTCCAATTCTAGTGGTAATTTTTCATATTGAGTTACTTTAATGCTGTGCTTTGTGACTGCTTTTCAAAACAGTGCATTTAAAAATCCACAAATTACCTACATCAAATGTTTAGTGATAAGACAGTACATAGCTGGTAAACATTTTGTGTGAATATATTGTACTGATTTCTTACCTAACATGGAAACAGATTTGAAACAAGGATTTTATTTAATTTTTAAAGTCATTTGCATATTTCTTTATACATGTCGTTGTTGTTAAGTTTCGTGGAGTCTGTTCTGACCCATAGCCACCCTGTATAGGGTTTCCAATTAGCGACTGGTGAGCTGGAACCACCGACGTTGTGGTTCAAACTGACTTTGCAGTCCAGTGCATTAACCCTCAGCACCACACCAGGACTCAAAGAGTTGTTGAAGGAATGGTAAACCAGTATTGTTGTTGTTGTTAATTGACATCAAGTTGGTTCCGACCCATAGTGACCCTCTATAGGGTTTCCAAGGAGCAACTTGGTGAGCTTGAACCACCGACCTTGCAGTTTAAACTGCTTTGCAGTCTGGTGCATTTACCCTCAGCTCCACACCAGGAAACCTCTAAATTCCAAAATGGCTCAGGCCCAGAAAAACCTTGAAACAAATGAACAGAGTTGTCAAGAACTGAAGACCCAAACATGAACAGTTCTTGGTCTTTTACATCATAATGGAGGTGGCAAGCAGAATTTTGATGGTAGGTGATGAAATGGCAATTTTTGCATCTGTATTTGACAGGCAAATATACTTTTCTTGGCTTAATTAAGGGCAAAAAAATGAAGGGGGGACTTTCAAGGCATTTCTTTCATGTCTTTTTTCAGTGTTGTTGTTAAGTGCTGTCAAATTGGTTTTGACTCATAGTGACTCTGTATAGGGTTTCTGAGGAGTTGGTGGTAGGTTTGAACTTCCGACCTAGCAGTTAGCAGTCCAGTGCTTACGTACTCTGACCTCTGCCAAGGATAGCTTCAAACCAGTGGGCTGTTGTGGCCTAAGGCATGCACTTCGTCCCTTAATATGCAAGCAGCTCTTTTCAAATCATGTTTCTCTTGTTCTTACAAATTCACTGCTGTTCCATAACAGTGCTGAGCAGAAATACCAGAATCTTAGTTATGATCAGAGTTACCGCGTTAGTATCAACAGAAATAGATATTATGACTTACTGAATAGTATTTCAGAAGAAAGGTATTATTTTTGAAGGGACAGGTAATTATGGCAGTAACAAGTAAGGCAACATTAGTAGTTGAAATGAAGACTATACCTTTTGGGATAACACTATGTTTTTTTGTTTTTTTTTAAAAACCTGTTTCTTAGGTGGCTGCTTTAAGTCTGATACAATTAAAAAAAAAAATCCAGCCATATTTCACTGTCCAATTAGGTTTTATGTCTCAATTTTGAGAGGAAGCAATGCTATAAAGTAAAATGTCATCATGAAAGCAAGTTTCAGGGCTGTCCTCTGTTGCACACTAGCAAATAACCAGCTGTGAGCTTGTCTCTCCTGTTAAAACACAGCCACCTCAAGAGCTGATGTTCACACTAATAATGTTCCTGAATTACCATAAAACAATTCAGTGACGTTCACTGGTTGAGAAAGGAAATAGAATATAGTGTGTCTCTTTAAGGCATTCTGTGAAAAAAAACAACAACCAGTTAAAGCAGAAAGATTCTGCCCTGTAACATAAGGATTTAGCCTTAGACGCCAGGTCTTTTTTTCTTTATCATTACTTCATAAGATAAATAAATATATGTATATATATTATATATAGGAAGGAGTCCTGGTGTGACACTGTAGGATAAACACTTGACTGCAAGGTTGGTTTGAATCACAAGGTAGGCAGTTCAAACCCACCAGCCACTCCTTGAAAACCCTATACAGGGTAGCTATAAGTCAGCACCTACTCGACAGCACTTAACAATATGTATGTTAAATATAAAATACATGCACATACTAATAATGAAAAAGAGAGACAAAGAGAGAAAGCTTACCTAAGTATTATAAATTAGCTAATGGATTTGTTGTTGTTAAGTGCCGTTGAGTCAGTTCCGACCCATAGCGACCCTGTACAGGGTTTCTGAGGCTGTAAATCTTTACGGGAGTAGAAAGCCTCATCTTTCTCCCGCGGAGCAGCTGGTAGTTTCGAACCGCTGACCTTAAGGCTTGCAGCCCGATTCGTAACCACTACGCTACCAGGATAATCTGCTTCAGTTACCTTTCTGTTCCAGTTATCTATACTTCCTACTTTTCTTTTCCTACTAATAAGAAGTAGTTCTTCCTACTTATAAAAAGCCAGTTGTATAATGAATAGATATGGTCCGTCTGGCTAACGTAGACACTTCACCAACAGAAGAATAATTTATAATAAGATTGTTATTTTTCATTTCCAAAGAGAACATTAATTTTAATCACATTCTCATGAAGCATATCTGCAATATTTAGAAAAAAAACAAACAAACAAAAACAAGTATGAACTCATAAGCTTGTCCTTTAAAAACCAAAGCCTGGGCAGACAGGGCTTAAATCTGCATTCTCTGTCCAGTCCCGTGCTTTAATTCTGTGCCTTTTCAGATTGCTAGTGGGCTGAGTCCTGGTGTGATGTAGCAGGTTAATGCGCTGGACTGCAAGGTTAGTTTGAACTGCAAGGTCAGTAGTTCAAACTCACCAGCTGCTCCTGGAAACCCTATACAGGGTCGCTATAAGTCAGAACTGACTTGATGGCACAACAGTGGCTGGTAAGAGGAAGTCTGTAAGTATCTGAAGTGGACTTACTTGTCTGAGAGACTGGGGGAACCTGTGAGTCTGTGGCCTTTAGATTTTCTGGAAACTCTCCTCAGGAGATCAACTTTCCGCCAAACATTAGGCCTATAAGGGGATGAATAATACCAGAGAGGAATGCATGCTTTAGAATAATCAACAGTATTTGCCCCAGAACAAAGCTGAGAAGGCAGGAAGGGGCAGAAAATAAGGATGAATGGAAAAAGGAAACACAGGGAGGAAGTGGGAAGAATATTGTTACACACTGTGGCTTGCAACCTGTGTCATGAAACAAAATGTCTATAAATTGCCGAACGGAAAAGTAATTTGCTTGGTAACCTTTCATCCAAACCCCAATAAAAAGTTAAAAATAAGTAAGTGAAATACAGTGTGTGATTGGACTCTTCACCCCTTTCAGGAAGTTAGATTTCACTAGCACACTCAAAAGGGCAAGTAGGTACCTGCTTACGCCGATTCTTGAATGCTTTAGAACTTGCACTGCGGTGTCAATCAAGTGCCACACAGCCAGCATGTCATTGGGTCTGTGGTTACATTGTGGCACCGGAATAGTGGTGGGATGAGAACATTTTGGGAGAAATTATTTCCTCACACACTTTCCACTCCATTTTCTGTATCTCAGAGGTTCATTTGAAGATTCTACAACCAGATTCTACACAGCATGTGTGGTGGAGGCTTTTGCCTATCTGCATTCCAAAGGAATCATTTACAGGGACCTCAAGCCGGAAAACCTCATACTAGATCATCGAGGTTATGCCAAACTGGTTAGTACATTTCTCCACATGGTTTCCTTCCTGAACCTTTAAAATGTTGGTTAATAGAGCTGTGTTCATTTGCTAACATTAAAATTGTGGGTAACCTTTTCAATTTTAGCTCTTTTTGTCAAAGCAGGTTTTAGTATTACTATTTTCAATCAATTATTTTTGCAATTCATGCAACATAATAAGAGATGAAGTTGGCTATGTTTGAATGAATAATACTTAGTGGAAGCAAGCTTTAATGAACTACGTGCTGACGTGTTCACACAGTACAAGAGCTTCACAGTTCTCTTTCTGGCCAGCTTTCTGCTATCCAAAGGGAATAAGTATTTATAGTATGGAAAACCATAAATAATGTTGGTATTTTCAATTTAACACTGATTCTCATTAGAGAAAATGGTCTTTTCAGGCAATGTCCATAATGGTCATAATAGTAAATTTGATAAATGCTCTCAAGATTTACAATGGAAAGAAAGTCCTCTTATTAAAAAAAATACATACGTTTTATGGGATTTAGATCTGTAGAATTTTATTTATCATATGGGTTTCTGAGAAAATAACTCAGCTGCATTTAATTGATGTTTTAAGCCAAGTTGTTTTAGTTAAAAAAAAAAAGTAAAGTTTCTAGAAAATAACGGATACACTTTTATTTTATCTCTGTTTATGTCTACCAAGAGAAGAGACCTTCGTTCTATAGCTCTGTTTCTCAGCTCCTTCAACAATAAGATGGCTTCACAAATTATTAATACTAAATTAATTGTTAATTTCATTCGATCAACAAAAATCATACCTGAAGGGATTTCAAGCAGTTTGTGGAAAATTGGAATTGGAAGATAATTGAGTTTTTCCATAAACCGTTTTTCTTTTTTCTATACACTTTTGAAGCCTCTTCATATATTCTAGGAAAAATATTAAGAAGGTACAGCTGATCTTTAGAAAATTTTGAGTAAAACAGACATTTGTTTTTTCAATGCCCCACTTCTATTGGCATAAAAGAATGGAACATGCAAAGTTTTTCTAGAAAGAAGTTTGCTTTATTTTTAATGAATTTCATCTTATGCTCAGATTGCAACTTCTATTAAACTGAGTTTGATCAGAAAAGCTTTGTTTGACTGCAATGTAGTTGATTCCTTATAATAACTTACATCAGAGCTTTATTATTATTATTATTATCATTGTATTCCAGCAAAGTACCTTATTGCTTTTAAGCGTAATCCTAAATGAGAAAAAAATATTTTTTTTTTCTTCATTTGTTTTAAGGTGGACTTTGGTTTTGCAAAGAAAATAGGATTTGGAAAGAAAACATGGACTTTTTGTGGAACTCCAGAGTATGTAGCCCCAGAGATCATCCTGAACAAAGGTCATGACATTTCAGCCGACTATTGGTCCCTGGGAATTCTAATGTATGAACTTCTGACTGGCAGGTACAGACATTGAGAGGGAACTGCTGATAACAACAGACCAGCAAATAGCTGCACACTTCTGCCTTTGTACCTCTGATTAGACCATCTTAAAATGCATTTCAATACATCTCAGCACCAACTATAATTTGTTATACAAATAACTAGAAACTTACAAAGCAAAGTCTAAAATGGGCTAGATGAAAGCAACCCACTGAATATCAACTTTTGGTATCATTGTTGATCATTGTTTACATATACGGAAATTGTGGAATTGATCCAGTGTCTTCCTATGAGATGTTGGAGCCTCGCCACTTAGCCAGTAATGAAACAAGGGAGGTGTTGGCCACATAAAAACATCTTGAGTCAATTGTCTGTAGAAGTGAGATTATCTGTTAGGCAGCTACTGTATCTAAATGAAATATGGATGTTTTGTAGCTTTTAGTGTAATCATGTTATAACCAATAACATCCTAAAAAGATATTGTGGTTACCATGAGATATGAGGCAGATTATAAACTCACAGACCAATAGCTAAGAGAAAAGCTGATAGACAGGAAAGCGAAAGTCAATGAGTAATAGAGTCTTCATGACCTACTGAGTTCAGAAAAGAGGTCTGGGCTTGATCCGGAGGGTTTAAGAGAAGACGAAAGCTCAGTTTAGCCTTAAGGGAAGATTTAGACTTAGAAGTAGAGAACAAATGAAGGAGCATTTCAGGCAAGAGAGTCATGACTTAAATAGAGGGTAAGGAGAGGATATAGACCTGGAGAAGGTTCTTGTAAGAAAATAACGGGATTAACATTAGTCATCTTTCAAGGATTGTAATTGTTGCACTTGAGTATTTAAACTTGATCTAGACAGTGAATTATTAACATTTCTTGACAAAATGGCGTGTGGTTAGCAGTTCAGTGCTTATCCTTAATAGCTACAGTGAAAGCAAGAGAATGACTTAGGTCATTTAGCATCAGGATTCTTTGTGTAGATTCAGGGGATACGTAAAGCACGCAGAAGCGTGCCAGGTGCATTGTTGTTGGTAAGTGTCTTTGAGTTGGTTCCTACTCATAGGGTCCCTATATAGGGTTTTCAAGGAGCAGGTGGTGGGTTTGAACTGTCAGCCTGTGGTTCACAGTCCAGTGCTGATGTTATTGTTAAATGCCATCAAGTAGATTGATGTGAGAGAGCGTGTAGCTGTAGTGTAAACACTGGACGAACTGCAAGGTTGGTTGTTGAAACCCTACGTGAGTTGGAGCTAATTTGATGGCAGCATAAGGTTTTCTTGGCTTTAATCTTTGCAGAAGCAAATTGCCATGGCTTCTTTCTGTGGAGCAAGTGGATGGCTGTGAACTGTCAGCCTTTTTATCAGCAGTGAAGTCCATCATTGTTTGCACCACCAGAAATCCCTAGGAAATGTTAACCAAGTCCTGGTTAAATATTTGATGGCTAAACAAAAGGTTGTCAGTGCAAACCCACCTGCCACTCTGTAGGAGAAAGATCAGGTATTCTGTTCCCATAACAGTTGTTGTTGTTGTTAAGTGCCCTCGAGTGAGTTCTGACTCATAGCGAATGTGTATAGGGTTTATAAGGTGCAGTAGGTGGGTTTGAACCACCAACCTTGTGGTAAACAGCCCAATGCTGATCCTACAGCACCACATCACAACTCTCCCATAAAGATTACAACCTTAAAAACGCCATAAGGCAGTTCTACGCTATATTATGAGGTAAGTCAGAGTCCGCTTGCTGGTTGGAGACCTGGTGTGACACTATAGGGTAAGCACTCAGTCATAAGGTCCATTTGAACTGCAAGGTTGGTAGTTCAGATTCACCAGCCACTCCTCAGAAATCCTATACAGGGTTACTATGAGTCAGAACCGACTTGACAGCACTTAACAACAACAAGGAATCTTGGTGGCTAAAGCCCTCAGCTGCTAACCTAAAGGTTTGCTGTTCGAACCCATCAGTTGTTCTGTGGAAGAAAAACCTGAGTCTGCTTCTGTAAAGATGACAGCCTTTGAAAGGCTATGGGACACTTCTACTTTGCACTATAGGGTGTCTGTGAGTTGGAAACAACTGGATTGTGGGTTTAGGTTTTTGATCTTAACAACAACAGATATGGTTTAGAGTAGGTACATACTAAGAAACAAACAGACACAAAAAACTTCCAAATTTAGATTTCTTAGTCTTTTTTTCTTTACTTTGAGGAGTTTGTATTATTAGTGAAGAAACACATATGAAATTCAACAATCCTTTTAGTTTTACTCCTCTGATAACTTCTAGCAAAATTAAATTGTTAAATACTTTTTATGTTTTAAAGTATATATAATATATATAATCCTACATTAAAGGAGCTCTGGTAGCGTAGTGGTTATGAATCGGGCTGCTAACCTCAGGGACAGCTGTTCAAAACTACCAGCTGTTCCTCAGGAGAAGTAGTTTAAAGACCAGTGTTGATCCTACAGCCCCACACAATATATGTATAAATACATATGTAATATAGGAGTCCTGGTGTCGTGCTATCAGTTAATGTACTGGACTGTAAAGTTGGTTTGAACTACAAGGTTACCAGTTCAAGCTCACTAGTTGCTCCTCTGAAACCCTATGCAGGGTCGCTGTTGGTCGGAACCAACTCGACAGCACTTAACATTTTACATATACATACATACATACATATATATATATATTTGTGTGTGTATGTATATGTATGTTATTGTTGTTGTTAAATGCTGTCGAGTCGGTTCCGACCTGTAATGACCCTGAACACAGTTTCTGAGGCTGTAAATCTTTAAGGGAACAGAAAGCCTCATCTTTCTCCCGTAGAGCAGCTGGTAGTTTCGAACTGCTGACCTTGCGGTTTGCAGTCTGATTTGTAACCACTACACTACCAGAGCTCTATATGTATGTGTGTGTGTGTGTGTATGTATATATATAGACACACACACATATAGTGGGCCTTTATACTTCAATTTGGACTTGATAAATGGGGTGTTAGACATCAGTATGCACAGCACTAGGAGGTGGGAAATTGCTTGGTTGTTAAAGGAGCAGACAGAAGGTCGTTGTGATTGGATCAAGTGAGGGAAGTTGATGATGCTTTGAGTTGGGGGTCATATTACTGATGTCCTTGTAGTCCGTAATTAGGATTTAGAACTTCATCCGAAGTTAATCAGTATGTCATAAAGTGTGAAGAAGGGCTAGCGAACTAGAGGAAAGTGGCATCTGGAATGACCAGGGACAAGAAGAAGGTAAGAAAGAGGTCAGCCAGCAGCACTAAAGAGAAATGACAGGAACAGCAGACAAACTTGACCCGCATGGTGGCTTTGCTAAGATAACCCTTCACATGTTTTGCTATTAATCCAGGTTTTATGCCATATATCACTACTAAAATAAGCTCACAAATAGAATTGTATAGTTTGTGGAACTTAAAAAATTAAGTTTTATTATTTAGAAAATAAAAATAAAATTTCTTTTCCTGTTTTTTTAAAATCTTGTAGCCCACCTTTCTCTGGCCCAGATCCTATGAAAACCTATAACATCATTTTGAGGGGGATTGATATGATAGAATTTCCAAAGAAGATTGCCAAAAATGCTGCTAATTTAATTAAAAAACTATGCAGGTGAGTATTTCCACCACATTACTTTTGAAAAAATTGTAATGTCTACTTTTTTTTTTTTTTTTTTAAAGATTCCTCATCATTTGCTATTTTGTTTACAGGGACAATCCATCCGAAAGATTAGGGAATTTGAAAAATGGAGTGAAAGACATTCAAAAGCACAAGTAAGCATTTTTTCCTTTTTCCTTTAGGTTTAGGAGAGTTCAGAAAATCTGACATGCATTTCCCTAGGGTGTTGTTTTTTAAAAGCAGAAGTTAGTGACTCTATAATTTATAAAATTTGCATATTGTTGTTAGGTGCCTGACATCTATTCTAACTCATAAAGAACCTTTGTGATGAGTAGAACTGCCCTATAAGGTTTTCTAGGATCTCATGGAAGCAGATCACCAGGTCTTTGCTTCTGAGGATGGTCTGTTGTAGTTGTTAAGTGCCATCAAGCCTGTTCCGACTCGTAGCTACCCTCTCCAGGGTTTCCGAGGAGAGGCTGGTGAGTTTGAACCAACATCCTTTTGGTTCAAACTGACATTGTGGTCTAGTGTTTTATCCCACAGCGCCACACCAGGACTCCAGGGATGGTCTATGTGGGCTCAAGACGTCAACCCGTTGGTTAGCAGCCAAGCGCTTAAGCCTTGTATCACTAGGAACATCCAAACAGAGTGTAGGCTAATTATTTTTTTAAAAAATAAGTTGATTTAGATATATCTGACCCTGTATAGTCACTGAAGTCACTAAATTCAACTTCGCCCAGTATACACTAAGTCACACTTTATGTTTTCTAATTTCAGCAGCAACTCACAATAACAAAAGCATAAGGAGGAGCTGTGTCTTCTTTTCTCAAATTCTGTTATCTGTAGGAAAATTAAAAACAAAAACCTTCTACATTATTATGCCTCATTTCCTAGACAAAAGTCAAAATGATTTTTCAACCATTTTTTAATTTAGATAATATAATGGGAGTCTCCTGATGTGGCACTGTAGGATAAGCACTGAACTGCAAACCACAAGGTTGGTGGTTCAAGCCCATGAATTGCTCCTCGGAAACTTTATAGAGAGTCACTATGAGTTGGAACTGACTCCGTGGCACTTTACAACAACAACAGCATCTTAACTATCAGACCTTACCTATGTTGACTGGAGTCCTGGTGTGGTGCTGTGGGCTAATGCGCTGGACTGCAAAAGCCTTTTGAACTGCAAGGTCAGCAGTTCAAGCTCACCAGCAGCTCCTTCGCACCCTATATAGGGTTGCTATGAGTCAGAACCGACGTGAAGGTACTTAACAACAACAACCTATGTTGACTGAATGTTCCAGAGCTAAACTAAGCCCTAATAGCTTTTTCTCTATTAATCTATGTGTGTAATATTCATAGGAAATACACTTTCCCATCAAAGGAACCTATTTACCAAAGCAGCTAAAAATATCTACAAGGTGGAAAGGTCTACTAAGAATGTAATGCAAACATCTGCTACTGGTGAAAACCTTTCAAATGAAAACAAAACAAAAACCCGTAGTATGGTTTGGACCGCATTTTTACAGAGAAGTTATATATGAAATATCTTTTTTTTTTTTTTTATGTAAAGAAAAAAGGGAGAAAACTAGACTACATAAGTGGATACATCGAGACCAATATATAGAGAAAGGTCAAGGTTGGTTAACTGACTCAGTGATAAAGATAGAAAAGTTATTTTTCCCCCTACTTGCATGCCTGATTGACACATTGAAAATGTTTGCTAACTGTATTCCATCAATCATATGTATGTATCTATTGCAATGAGGTTTCAGCTAAGGTGAAATGCTTTTAACTGTCTGCATGTTTTATTTTTGTTTTCCCCACCCTGCTCCTAGATGGTTTGAGGGTTTTAATTGGGAAGGCTTACGAAAAGGCACCTTGACACCTCCCATAATACCAAGTGTAAGTAAACTTTCCGGTTTGTAAATATCTGACACTTGATGGGCTTTTATCAGTCATCAAAGATAGTACTTTTCAAGCTTTATCTTTTGATCAGATTAAAGAAACTATGGATGCGCCACATTAAGATAATGATATATGCTGCTTCAAGATAGATACATTAGGGACAGTTGCTCCATATACATTTTTCATTTGACTTTGCTAGCTATTCATTTTAACACATGCTTTTGCATTTTATGAATTACTGTCCATTTTTATAAATGACTCCTCACTTAGCGACTCTCTCCTTATCCAGCATCTCACACTTAAGACAACATGAGGGAGCATCGAAAAGCTTATGGAAAAATTGCACTATCTTTTCATTCCAATTTTCATAGACTCTTTCATAGTTAAAAATCTGCCATTTGACTATTTTATGCATTAACAACAGACATGTGTCAGTAATGATTGCCTGTGTGTAAGGTGAGAGTAAGGCTGGATGTGATTGTTAAGGTTATCTGTCAACATGGCTCAGTCCTGATTCTCCGTGGTTTTGCATTAGGTAATGATTTCAGTCTGAGCCAGGCAGTGCCATTTCCAGCTCTTCTGGTCAAGAGATTTGGTTGCTATGCAGTGTGCTTGCTGCCCTTGTTTTTAAGAAGAGTGATTTAGTTTCTAGCAGGATGGTTACCCAGAGTCTTTCCTGTTCAGGTTGCCATTCTGGTCCACCCACATTTTTAAAGGTCAAATCTGTGCCAAGTTTTGTTTCATCAGCAATGACTGAATCGGGAGGAACCAGTTTAAAGACCTCCTCATTTATACTTCCCACATAGTTCCTACTCTCTTTGCTCATATTTCTTGATGGTATTTCTAGGCATTATTTTAGTCTATCATCAGTTTCTAAAAGAAAATGATTTTTTTTGACAGTCTCTTTTCCAGATATATCAGGTTTTATTTTAATAAGCCAATTCATTAAGTGAGTTAAGTGTTTACACTGTGTAAGTGGGAAACATTTCAATTTACTACATGCATTTAATACCATAGCTAATTAATAACCTGTGCTACATCATAGTAAGAAACAAAGGAGTGCTTTTGGGTACTGGGCTCTTCATTTCATGCTTCCTTTTTGTAAGACTAACTGAAGACTGCCTGCAAAAACTGCTACCAACTAGTCTTCCCACAGCGCTCTCTTAAGTTAGGTTTTCTGAATCATTGCATTGGCCACACAGAACTCAGACAATATACATGAGTATGTTGGGAATTTAGCAGAGTACAATTCAGGGTCAGAAATGCTCAGGGCACAGTTGTTTGGGACAGCGCCCCCTAAGCCAGGTCCACAGGCTGGCTTCTCTCTGGTTGGGCAATGTTAAAAAAAAAGCTTTCTCAGGGCTGCTGCTAAGCCCATGGGACACATCACTCCACCTTAAACCTCTGCCCAAAGTTACCAGCTCAACTGTTTGCTCTGCAGGCTGGTAAACCCATCAGTCTGTCTTGTGATACAGCTCCTGGTTCCGCTGCTGCTCTGTCTCCTCTGCCACCCACCCGTCTGGTATTAACCGCTTTCTGTCCCTGGGCTGAGGAGGTGCATTGGGCAGGGAGCTCAGGATCCAAAGATGTGCTGCCTTTCTGGGGCTTCTTCTCTGACAGCAGCGAGACCCCCTCCTCGTGTTTCTGAGATGCCTCATTTTAGAGACATTTGAGCTCCAGGTTTTTACAATTACAATAAACTCTGTTAACCACTGACAGCTTGATCAGATCATCCTGTCAGCTTTTTCTCCCACCTTCGTTTAGCTAGATTCAGCAGGGCAAACATCCTGCTTTGTGGGAATTACAAGTCTACGGCGAGAGGAGACATATTCAATAATACACCACTTCACGTTGCTCTTTATACAGAAACATTTTCTCATCTTCTAAGGTGTATTTCTGTCCTTATATTTACATTTATTCACAAGCAAAACAAATATAAAGCATTACCTACATTTCACATTGCAGATGTTTATTGTATGTAAGGAATTTTTATTTTAGAAGAGTAAGAAACTTGGAGGGATAAATTTTAAACTAAACAGAACTATTATCAGGGACTTCTTTTTTTTTTTTTTTTTTTTTAAGGCAGTAGTAGTATTCAATGGGGAGTCCTGGTGCGGCGCTGTGGGCTAATGCGCCAAACCACAAAGCCATTTGAACTGCAGGGTCAGAGGTTCAAGCTCACCAGCTGCTCCTCAGAAACCCTACACAGGGTCGCTATGGGCCAGAACCAACTCTATGGCACTTCACAACAACAATATTCAATGCCAATTTTTTTCCAGAATAAATATTTTTTTAATTATGGGATATAAGAACTAAAGCATTCATCTTCATTGCATTTACTCTTACTGATCTACAGAATACAGAAACTTTTACTTGACTTTACAACTGGCTTTTCATACTTAGAAACACAAAGTCTTTCCTGTGGCCTACAAAGCCCTACAGAACCTAGCTCCTGAGTATTTCACAGCCTCACCTCATTCTAGTGACCTCTCCCCTTTGACAGCAGCCGCACTGGCCTCTTGTTCATTCCAGAGCATTAAGTTCTCTCCCACTTCTGGGAAGGTGTAATGTAACCTCTTTTTGAACTCTTAAATTCTCAGGCTTAAAATAATGCTTTCTCAAACAGACTTTCTTTGATCATGCTACTATACTCTGCGGACACTTTTTATGTTTTCTTTATAGCACTAACCAAGGTTTGTAATTCTACATCAATTTTTCTGACTATTTATTTTAATCATACAATTTATTCTTTACTAGAATAAAGTGATTTCCATAAAGGCAAACTGTGCCTATTTTTAGGCATCACTGTTACCATCAGTACAAAGCATAATTCCTGTTATACAGTAGACACTAAAAAAATAGTCACTGAATGGAGAGTGAATAAACCAGGAGTTGATCCTTATTGTGTGTTTGTTTTCTTTTTTAATCTAGCTTGTGGTTGTACTGAAAAATCAGATGCAAGAAATTCATTTGCTATTCATACTGTCTTGCTTGCAGGTTGCATCACCTACAGACACAAGCAATTTTGACAGCTTCCCTGAGGACAATGATGAACCACCACCGGATGACAACTCAGGATGGGACATAGACTTCTAATGCATTTCTCTGACCTGCTTCTGCCTTGCTGAAGACAGCTTTTTCTGAGACATAGCTGCCAGCATACCTGAGGGAAAGGGGGAAGATTTGTGCTCGGGGTCACCATGATGCCTTTGATCGATGCTGCTCCAGTAACTACAGTGGCATTAGGACTTATTGCTTAGATGACAGTAGTGCGTTTTACCTGTTTTCTGTTTGATTCTAAAATAGCAGTTGACATGGTGGTCCTGAAGCAAAGCCTGTCACCAGTGAAGAGATGTTTTCTGTTGTTGTAATGATCTTGCTTTGCTCTGATTATAATTAGAAAGACAGTAAGAAGTACTTCAATCCAGTATGAGTCTAGAACTTGCTAGAATTATCAGTAAGATCAAAGTACACTATATTGGGTACGATGGATTACTGTGATACAGAACCTGGGCTATTCCTTTTCTTCAAATGAGAATTGTGGGATATATTACTGCAAGCCAGTGTATAGATCGTATGAAAGAGGACCATACATCTGTTGGTCACAGATTCATGTCAAACCAGTGCTAGAAGTTTCACAGTTTTATTTTCCAGTAGTGCTGATGACGAGACTGAATGTTACCTTTTCTTTCTGACAGATTTTAAAAATTGATACGATAAAAGCACAACTGTTATGGATTCTGCTGAGAGCTCTCATCGCAGATATGTATGTGTTTTCACTGAGGATTAGAAAAAGTGCATGATATTTGTTTGTTTCTTCTTGATTAATTGGCATGATAGAGTGGAACACAAAGGAATGAATAAATCCATTTTCATGTTCTTTACAATAGTGTGCTTAAAGATAGTCCTGGAAAGAAATGACTAGCAGCCAATTGGTTTTACTTATTACCCAACATGCCCTCAAACTGAGGCTTAAAATATTCCCTTTTATAAAAATAAACCCTTGACAGTGGGGTGGGGTGGGGCAAGATTAAGACCCATCCAAAAATAAAAATTAAAAAACAACAACGATATAGGTGCTATGTATATCTCTCATCTGTAAATGTCAGTGTCTGAACAGACAACGCAAAATCTAACCATTACACACGTAGCCAGAGAATCAATCATTTTCACTAAATTTGTTAAAACCAAACTCCTGTCAGATTTCACTTATAGGCTTGAGGGAGCAAGGTAGTTTAAAAACCAATTTGAATTAGCTTCTTGTCTTAGGCCTGAACCAAAATGTAAATCAAATAATGAAAGCACAAAGTCAAAGTGATTAAGATCTAGCAGCTAAGGAGCCTTCCGTATGTAAGGTCAGGGAGCAAGACAAGAACCTGACCAGGTGCTGATGATCTATTAGTGAGTGAGCTAGCATGAGTACATGGGTGTGCGCAAGTAGGAAGGGGCCATGCAGGGAACTGATTTCTTAAAAAGAAACTTTAGCTAAATAAGAACAGCGATATTACAATTCTGAAAATTTATACTAGCCTGCAAAGACTAGATTTGGAAACATCAAACTGATTTGCTATTTCATATGTGGAAAAGAATTAATAGTTTAAACGGAGTCCTTTTTTGGCAGGCAGAGTGACTATTAGCTGCTGTAAGGAGCAAGGCTATTTGGAGGTTCTACTGGACGATAGCATCAGACCTGTTTAGGTAAGCACAGCATAATAAGCTGTCATCTGCATTTAGAACTGTGTAGGAATGTGGAATATTGAATAGAGATTTGCTTTTTTCCATTGCACAGTTGTAGCAAAATCAACTACCTGTAGATATTTCTTGGGGGGAGGGGGGAATGAAGTCCCAAAAGATCATCATACCATAGTCAAGAAGGTATATATTGTAATATTTAAAATCTGTTATATTCAAGACCACATTAGCATATAATGTTTTATCAGAATGTACTACTAAAAAAAGCACTGGTAGGATAAAATAGCTAAGGGCAAAAATATACTAAGGGTATCTTTTATGTAATTAGAAAAAAGTTCAATTTAAACTTTGATTCTGAGATGTTTTTGCTACTCTGGTGTTGCTGGAGTTTCCCCCGCTTAAACTCTTTTTCAAAAGTGGTCTAGTCCCCCAAGATAATCTCTTTCTTCTACAGATAATTAAACATACCAACTGAATACCTAAATTTGAATGCCATTTCAGAAGCTTTATATTAACTTCCAAAACTGATCTTTAAAAAATATATTTCCAGCAATTATAATCAAGGTTCAGAAATTTTTATAAATAAACAGTGTGCTTTAGGCATGTTAGAAGTTTGTCTAGGAATTTGCTAGAATATTAAATTTACCTGTAGGATAAGCACTGGACTCCTAATCCAAAGGTCGGTAGTTCAAACCCACTAGCTGATTTCCAGAAACCCTATATAGGGTTGCTATGAGTTGGAACTGACCAAACAGCACTCAACAACAACAACCATTATTATATAAAAGAATCTGCCCCTGCAACTTTTCAGATACCACAAAAGCCCCAAAGATAAACCTTACTGTAGGTTTTGCAACCATGGTTCAAGTCTAAGACAAGTAAGATGTACATGTTCTCTTGAGAAGGAAGAAGTAGCATTCAGCACAGTGTAACTGTAGATTGTTTCTCCCACGGCATCTCTGTTTGTTTCACACGTGGCATTGCATTGAAACGTCTAAAGCAATCACCAGAAAATAAAAGGTGAACTACATCTTCCAAGAAATACTAACAGAAAACATTCATCTAATTTTCAGCATTGAATTTTAAGGATTTCAATCTTGTCTTAATAAAGACACTAGGGCTAAAATTCATGGTCAGTTCATAAAATGCATCTCTCTTTATTTCTGATTTTTTCATGCGCCAGATAAGTTAGAAATGTGCTCACTTGTTTGATTTGTTAACCGACTTTCTTGTTAATACTTCCAGTATGAGAAATAAGGGCTTTCTGTGTGTCTTGACTCACAGGAGAACTGACGTCTGCCATGGAAAGTAGCATCATAATATTTAAGATGGACAGAATACGTTAGAAAAAAATTCTGGATAAATGGTATAAATGAGTTTTATGTTCATAACTTCTTTCACCTTAAGATAGAAATCAGATCCACATGGCATTTAAACACATCTATTTTGATTATTCTTTACATGTGATAATTTTATACATATAATTATGGGAAGTGCGTGTGAATTACGCATGCATAATTACATAAACTCATCTATTGAATTCTTATTTCATTTCTAAATGACTGAACTGATGGTGAACTTAAATTTAAAGAAGTCAGCTATAATATTGAGAACAAGGACATTAGAATCGATTTCATACAGTAGAGGTAATCTGTGCATTATCCATAATGTTTTATTTTGCAATAGGACCACAGACAAATATTTATGTAAATAGATATTTTTGTGTGATATTTGTGGTACATAAAACTTTTTTTTAGTGTTTCACAGCATTATTATTTCATTTTATTTGTATTGGATAATGTTTTTAGGTCCAAGTAGACTTGAATTAATGTCATTATTGTCAGTATTATTGAAAGTTACGTAAGTCAACTGTACTGTTATTCATCTGTCCCATAGTTTAGAACATGACCTGGCTATCTGGCATTGTTGCAAGTGCCTTAAATTCATGGCATCCTATTTAAAAAACAAACAAACAAATTTGGTGTTATGCTGCATGACAGAGACAAACACACCTCAAAATGTTGTCCTTTCTTAGCTTGCTGCGTTTTACAGTTCTTTCTGCTAACAATTTATAAGCCTTTATTATATAATACTGATGAATTAATTACAGAAATGATGAAGTTGTTCTCTTATTTCTGTTCAGTGTACCAGAGCTGTGTATCTGTTAATGAGATACAGCATCATTTCTGTGAAATGTATAAATGTATGTGCAGGTCAAATTAATATATGACATACTATCAGTCTGTATACAGGTATTCCTGTTTTGCTAAGCTGTGCAGATTCAGTTTAAAAAATAGTGCAGTCTAGTTCTAACGTATCTCGTTTATCAGACTCCATTAACAATGGTTCAAATGGAAAATTGGAAACTTGACTGCTACCCACAGCTCATTCTGAAACCAATGATGAAAAAGTACTTTGGTGCACCACTCAACAAAACAGGATGCTTTCTCTGAGTTCTTGTATATGCAAATCATTTATGAAGCAAGTTTTCAACAGAACTAGAAAGTTAGACATTGAAAGTGTGTTGTTAGCCCTCCGCTTTGCCTGCCCATGCATCAAAAGACAGAGCTCTGAGACATTGGCGAGGACTCAGTAGTTTGGGCTTTCCAAGTAAAGGGACATTTCTTTAAGTATCATCTATTAGATTGATTTCAATGTATGATGTTTTTAAACTTGTCAGTTCTTTTGTATCCTCACAGCTGTGGTTATTTGTCCTCTTACAATTTGTTCTACATGAAAGAGTCCTTTGTTAGTCAGATGCAACAACTGTCTTCAAATGGTCGTTGACCACTTGCACTCTTTTGATGTAGATTAAAAACTTTTTCATAAACTTATCCTGCTTTGATTTGCTCTGTATTTTTCCTGCAGCTGTAATTGCCGAGTGCCTGTTGTATACTTTATAGAGTTGAAATAAAAAGAAATAATTACTTTTGAACTTAGTTGATGTTTAATTCCAGACAAGATTCAAAAGTAGAAGAATTGGTATATTATACTAGAATTGAAATGCCATGTAGAAAATAACTGATAACCCAAGCATTCTTCATGAAACAATATGAGTGTGGCACTGTGGGCTAATGTGTCAGACTGCAAAGTCATTTGAACTGCAAGGTCGGTGGTTCAGGCTCACCAGCTGCTCCTTGGAAAACCCTATACAGGGTTGCTATGGGTCGGAATCAACTCAACAGCACTAAACAACAACAACAATATAAAATTAATACAGCAGCTTAAAGAATTCATTGAGGATAGTATCATGCCATCCAATGTGAACAGTAAAGTAAGTACAGATAACCCACAGAAACCCCAAAATTAGCAATCCCCTGTGGACCACTGTGACCACCATCACCTCTGAAATACACAAATCATTAATAGAATAATTCTAATATTATTTAATATGAAACCAGTTTCTTGACTTTTCATCTAAAATTTGTCCACTTGATCCCTCTGTTAAGTTTTCTATGCATAAAGAATATAGATTTAGAGAATAATATCATTGCAGTAAACACAGATTTCCAAAACTCTGGTAAACACATTTCTTCCTATATCCCTTTATTACGGAGGCAGCAATGGTTCACAAATTATAATTGGCTTCAAAGTGAGCATTTTCTCAATGCGCTCGCCTTTGTGTTGACATCACACTGTCAGTGGGTTGAAAACTTAAAATTAAGTCTAGCTAACAATCTCAATATAGGGTTTTCAACCTATGATGCTGAGGAGCGGCTGGTGAGCTTGAACCGCCAGCTTTGCAATTCAAACTGACCTTGTGGTTCAGTGTTTATCCTACAGTGCCACACCAGGACACCTATCTCAGATTTGTTGTTGTTAGGTGCCATTGAGTCAGTACCGACTCATACTGAACCTACGTACAACAGAATGAAACACTGCCTGGTATTACGCCAACCTCATAATTGTATCTACACATGGGTTCATTGCTGTTGCCACTGTGTCTGTCCATCTTGTTGGGGGTCTTCCTCTTTTTCTCTGACCCTCCACCTTACCAAAATGATATCCTTCTCCAGTGACTGGTCCCTCCTGACAATATGTCCGAAGCATGAGAGATGAAGTCTGGCCATCTTGGCTTCCAATGAGCATTCCGGCTGTACTTCTTCCAACACAGATTGATTTGTTCTTTTGGTAGTCCATGGTACTTTTAATATTCTCCTCCAGCGCCATAACTCAAATGCATCTATTTTTCTACGGTCTTTCTTATTCACTGTCCAACTTTCACATGTATATGAGTTCATTGAAAATACCATGGCCTGGGTCAGGTGTACCTTAGTCCTCAAACTGATATCTTTGCTGTTAAACACTTTAAAGTGTTCTTGTGCAGCAGATTTGTTTAAGGCAATATGTAGTTTGATTTCATTATTGTTGCTTCCATGAGTGTTGATGGTTGATGCAAGCAAAATGAAGTATTTGACAACGTCAACCTTTTCTCCATTTATATGGATTTTGCTTATTGATCCAGTAATAAGGATTTTTGTTTTCTTTACACTGAGGTGCAATCCATACCATTCTTTGATCTTCATCAGTAAGTATTTGAAGTTCTCTTCACTTTCAGCAAGCAAGATTGTATCATCTGGATATCACAGT